TGAGTGCTTCAGATTTGTGTATTTTCTGATTTTTTTTCATTGCTCATTATGGTTCTCATATCTGGAGAGGAGTGGGGAAGGGGGAGAAAGTGAGAGAAATGGGGGATTTGCTGGGGAAGAAGGGGGAAGAGTGTGGAGGACTGGGGGAAGAAGAAGTTAAAAAAAATTTATTTTAAATGTTTTCTTGTCTTTTTTTATCTATTTTTCTTTTTCTTTTAGTCTAAAAATTCTAGGTTTACGCGTTTTCTATGTGTGAAATCACGCATTTATTCCAACTGAATAATAAGTTGTCACATGAGCTTGGTCAATGATCAGAAGGATTTTAAATGCTGAATTGTATTGAGTTTAAAGATTCAATTGATAAATGGTTAAGTAAAAATATCCACAATACAAACTCATACAAGTTCCAAATCATTTTTCTTTATATCTTTATTTGATTTTTCAATACAAATACAGAATTCATGCAAAAATTATCATCCAATTAGCTAAATCCGCCCCCGGAAGTCACGTACCATTTGTTGATGAGAAATATAATTTAATAGTAAGCATTTAAAAATAAATGAATTGTACACCAGAGGCAGAGGCAGAGGCAGTGTAAGATTTGACTTCCTTTTGTTATCAGCACACCTTTGACTCACTAAAAATAAAGAAGCCTTTTTAGTTAGCTCAACAACAGAGAAAATGTAGTTCCTTGGCTTACCAACATTGAATTAGCTGACTAAAACATAGTATGATTTAATTTAATTTTCAGCTATAAAAGTGCTAAAGGCACTAACGTCATAGCCAAAAAAAAAAAGAACATTAGCATTTGATATCAAAATGGAGTCAATTGCACATCCACTTGTATCCATTATCTCTGAGAAGCTCATCAAGCCATCTTCTCCAACTTGTCCTACTAAAAGATGGCACAAACTTTCTTTAATTGATCAAGCTTTCAGCAACTCTTACATTCCATTTTCCCTTTTCTACACCAAAGATGCTATCTCAAAGAACAATACTCAAATATCTCAACTTCTTGAGGAATCTTTATCCAAAATATTGTCCATTTATTATCCATATGCCGGAAGGCTTAAAGATAATACTACAGTTGATTGTAATGACGCGGGGGCTGAATTTGTTCAAGTTCGAATTGATTGCCTAATATCAGAAACTCTTAACTGGCATAATACAGCTATAGAAGATTTGTTATTCCCTCAAGGTTTGCCTTGGTCAAATTGCACAACCGGTGGACTAGTTGTAGTTCAACTCACCTATTTTAATTGTGGAGGAATAGCTATAAGTATGTGTATATCACATAAGATTGGAGATGGATGCAGTGGTTACAATCTTTTTCGTGATTGGTCTGAGATAACTTCCGATCCAAATAATTTCTCGATACCATCTCTCCACTACGTTGAACAATCTGTTTTTCCTCCACCTTCAAGTGGTCCTTTTCTATCCCCATTATTCATGTCAAACAAACATGATTGTGTCCAAAGAAGGTACATTTTCTCTAATGAGAAATTACTAAACCTATTAGAGAAAATACTAAACCTTAAGAACACGGTTGCTGCTGAATCAGAGGTGCAAAATCCGACACGTACTGAAGTTGTAAGTGCACTTATCTTTAAATGTGCTGTAAGAGCAGCAAAGGCAAAGTCAGGGATTTTCCAACCATCATCAATCGTTCAAGCAGTTGATTTGCGAGCACTAGTTGGTTTGCCTCCAAATGCTATTGGAAATCTTCTTACCATATGTCCAACATCAATAACTAATAACGAAGAAAGTATGACAATATCAAAATTGGTCACTGAAATGAGGAAATCAAAAGAGCTAGTTTACAAAAGAGATAACATCAATGACAACATGTTTGTGGCCTTGCTACTCGAACTAGCAAAATCGAAACAGGAATATCATGACAATGGTCCTAATGAGTATCAAATTACTAGTTTGGTGAAATTTGCTCTTCATGAAATCGATTTTGGATGGGGGAAGCCTACTAAGGTGAGTATAGCAAATGGACTAAATAACAAGTTGGCTATCTTGATGGGTAACCAAAGTGGTGGACTCGATGCATTTGTGACGCTTACAGAACATGATATGTCTGTATTTGAACGTGACACTGAGCTTCTTGAATTTGCTTCTATAGTTCCAAGCTGTTAGATGTTTTACATATATTTTGTGTGTTGAATATGTTTTTTGAATGTTGATTATGTTTCTGATGATGACAAATAAAATATGCTTGTATTAAGTTGTACGTCAATGTATTTTTATTCAGAATTTTTGTGGAATAAGCAAGGATATTGGAAATGTTTTATTGCTCAATTATTATGAGCTCCACCTGATGAATTATTGGGTTATTAGTTCGATATTGAGCTTTCATTTATAGGGACATAGCATAAAGAGTTCAAGTTGCACAAAGAGTCGAGAAGATCCTGATTTGATTAAAGAAAAACAAAATAGATCGATTTGATTGCTAGTCATCAAAAAACTATTCTATAATTTATAAATAGAGTCCAGCAACGACTTGGAAGCTCAGACATTTTTAGCAACATAATTATTTCGCTGATTTCCAACAATTGAAATTACAACGATTGAAATTTAAACATATTTGAACCACATAATTTATAAGGGAAACAACTAAAACATGATATAAGCCCATTTGATAACACTTTGAACTAAGCTCAAATGCCAAATGCATGAATGAAACACACATTATTTTCCTAAATTGATACACCACTTTTTAGGACACTTATTATCTTATTAAAAGTACTGGATCCTCAGATAAACACCCCTACAAGTCACAAAAAAGGAACCATCATTATCAATTGAACATGTACTTCCACTTTGAACGGTAATAGTTTCCTGTCTAAAATGGACTAGTGATGGGCGGCACACAAAAACGAGTAGCATACGCAAAGTTGTAGTGAAGTGGTAAATATTACTTAATTTTTTAATTAAAGTTTTTGGGTTCAACTTCTCCTAGGTATAGACTCACCTTTGTTAGGAAACTATTTACCCCCAATATGAGACTTTTCGATGCGAATTCAAATTTTATTGAACTTCAATATGAATACTAGAAACTTGACGGGAAATAAAAAAAGATGGAGGAAAAGTTTAACAAGGATCAATATGTAGTCACCTCTTCAAAAATATTTAGTTGCATATTAATGCAATAGACTGGCCGACACTTTAGACTCTCATTTTACTTTTTTCATGTGCAATCCTTTCCATTAAGATAGAGCTCAACGAATTATTCATTAGTACTAGTGAAACTTCAGTAAATTGTGTTGAAATTCTACCATTTTCCAAGCTTTAAACTAAATACTGTTTGGAAATTTCGAAACTCCAACATAGTGTTATACGTTTAGTTAGTTGAAAACATTTCTGAACGACAAGCTAATTTCCAACAAAACGTCCTTCCAAAATTCACATTTTCTTTGTAGTGTTTGAATACTTATATCATCACTAAAATTATAACGTACTTACATCGTATACCACTTAAATATAAGTTCTAATTTAACCAAAAAGCCCTTAATTGCACTTAGCTCTTCCATCTTAATTAATTCTCTACCAACAACTCCAATTCTCGCATTCACCACACTCAAATTATTGTTATGTGCTAAAAGTTATACCCATTTTACTAGGCACTATAAAGTCTGCATGAATCTGCTACGCACAGAAGACGTCATTCGCGCGACCACGCGGTAAGGTCAGTGCTGCTACCACGACTGTGCGAACAGCCACGTGACCTAGGCTCCAGCTGTTGGGCTGTGCACGTTCTCCAAAAAAATATTTTTCTTTTCTTTTCACGTTCTAGGAGGAGTGTTTTTGTTCTTTCCTCAACCCATAACCCTATTTCATGACTATTAACTTTCCTTAAAAGTCAAATACAATCAAATTTCATAAGTTACGGCAAACTCTTCTCCTCTTTTTTCCCAAACACTTCAAATAACAAGATCAACAAGAATTCTAGAGATCACAATCACGATTCTTCCTCAAACTTCAAAATAAATGTATATAGAACTTCAATGAAGTATTTCTTTCATCCTAATTTCCAAAACTCCTCATTTTTTATCAATTTATTTCTATAGTTAGGGACAAGGGCAACTGATCTGGTTTCGGGAAAAATGGTGAGCGACACATTGAGTTGGCAGCTCACCAAACTCATTTGGTGAGCTTAACAGAGCTCACCGAAAGTGACAAAAAACTGCAGGCAACAGTTCTCAATAAGAGGGTGAGCTAGGGCTGACACGGTGAGTCGCCGAATCACCTTGGCGAGCTTGACTGAGCCCGCCGAACAAGTATTTTGCAGCCCTTCATAACCCAAATTTCAAAACTCGACTCAACAACAAGCAACGATCGATTATAAAAATATTTTTCACACGATTCAAGGTCACCCAACATACCCGGGAGAGTTGGCAAAATAGCCACCTTAAAGACTTAATGTGACATTAAGTCACAAGTCTTGAATAATTTGTGGTATACCCACTATTAATGACATCATCCACATGCCCTAATTGGCACATACAAAAGATCTCCCTAAGTTTTCATATCTCCACTTTGGTCCCCCTTCTTTTTCAACTAATTTGGAATAATATATATCTATTTGCATTTGTTAAAAATATATTAGAAAAAGAAAAAGCCAAACGGGAAAGAAGAGCAGCTCATTTTTTGCTGCTGTCGAAACTGACGATTCCGGCGAGTTTTCCGGACCAAAATATCCATTTTCAAGGTAAAATCATCATCATCTCCTACTCCAATTTTCATTTTTACTCCATTTTCTTTCAAAAACCAGGCTTTAAAATAATTTTTCCGCCATTTTAGAAATTTGAGAAATCTTCCATAATCACTTGATAACTCATTAGTAGATACATTTGTTTAGTTTAAAAGCATTATAAAAATGTTTCGCCATTGCAGGAGTTGAATTTGTACCCTGATCTCATCCAATCGCATGTTTGTACGAATTCCGTACCTCATAGACTGATATAGTAATCTAGTATCGATATTTGTAGTCTATAATGGCAGTAGCTGAATTTGTTATTGCTGGTGGAGAGTATATGGGAGTATGGGAGGAGAGACTCCAAAAAGCTGAAATTGGAAATCTTTTAGTAAGACGACAGTGCCCATTGCGTTGCGTCGCAATGGTTCATATGACGATATGATTGCAAGCGTAATTGAGGCCGGCGAGCTTGCGAGCCAAATGACTTGGTGATTAGCTAGCAAATGAATGGGAGGGGAAAAATACATCCCACATTCATAAAAAATGATCGGCACGTTAGCTTGTACATGTTAGATATTTGTATTGATGGCTGTAGTCCTACATTGAGGATACACGTCAATGCTAGGCCTCCAATTGAACCAACAAATTCATTTGATGATGAAAATGATACTATTGGAAATGAAAGATTGGGTAATCATTCAAAGTAGAGCTTGGGTGATCATTCAAATGAGAGTTTGGGTGATCATTCAATGAATATACATGATGATCCAACTAATGTGGAAAATCAGTCAGTAGATGCGAAAGATCCCGAACGCGAATGTTGTGAAGAAATGTAGGGAGAACATGAATTGAGATCACAATCCAACCATTCCTTCTCCGATGGAACTAATTTATGCATAAATCAAACTTTCAATAACAAGAATGAGTTGCAGTTGTTATAAGCCGAAGCGGCGGCAAAGAAGTCTTTTGATTTTTCTACTCTGAGGAGTTGTACTAAATATTTAAAGGTGAAATGTGTATCTCAAAATTGTGCATGAATGTTGCGGGCGATGAAATATGAGTGTTCGAATAGATTTCGTATCTACAAGTACATTGGCGAGCATAGTTGTGGTGTTGAACATGCCAACAGTAGCCATAGAAAAATCTCAATCAAAGTCATTGCTTCACTTTGGGTAAATATGTATTGTGATGGCAAGGGTCCAAATGTTAAAGAGATTCAAAGGGCAATGTTTAATTCTTTTCGTTGTAGTCCAAGTTATTGGAAATGTTGGAAGGGAGGTGTGGTTGCCAAGGAAATGGTCTGAGGGTCAGCGGAGAGCGGATATTCATGCTTATTGCCTTTTCATACATGTTCGAGACACTTAATGTTGGTTCTAGCTATTCTATCATGGTAAACAAGGATAGTCATAGGTTCATGTATTATTTCTTTGCCTTCGGTGCTTGCATTAAGGGATTTGCCCACATGAGAAAGGTAATTGCGGTTGATGGCACTCATTTACATGGTAAATACGAGGGTGTGTTGTTGCGTTGTTGCACAAGATACAGAGAATTATGTTTATCCAATTGCTTTTTGTGTCGTGGACAAAGAGAATGAAGCATCTTGGACATTCTTCTTTGAGAAATTGAAGGAGATAGTGGTCGATGAACCAAATTTATGTTTTATCTCCGATAGACACAAGAGCATCGCCAACGACATTGTGAGCGTTTACAATCATGCTCACCACGGATATTGTATGAGGTACCTCGGTGAAAATCTCCGCGTAAATCATCATTGTGGAGATTACCTTTATCTTTACTACAATGCGGCAAAGGCTTATTCTTTGGAAGAGTTTGACAATCATTTTGTCGAATTCAAGAACAAATGTCCCGCGGCAGCCGTCGTCTTTGAGTATGATATAGGTTTTGAGAAGTGGAGCAGGGCACATTTTCATGGCAATAGATATGATGTGATGACCACAAATATCGCCGAGTCACTCAATGCTATATTTATAGAAGAAAGGTAGTATCCCGTGGCATAAATATTTAATTTGATTGCTAACAGGTTTGGAGAATTGTTCAGGGAGAGGCATGCATATATCCTTAAATCAATGGGTAATCAAATGGTGCCTTCTGCCGAAAAAATTGCAAGAAAGAAAATGATCGAGGGAGACTCCTTATATGTGGAGAACGTAACAGGGGACGACAATCAATTTACCATATTCGGTGCAGGTGTTACTGCCTATGTGGACCTATTGGAAAAGTCATGTTCTTGTAGGGAATATGACTTGATCAAGATACCTTGTGCTCACGCGATGGCCGCTTTGCAATCGAAGCATGGCAACGAGTATGGTATGAGCATTTATGAGTACTCTTCGCCTTTGTATAAAGTCGAATCGTACCTCCTTGCATACTTAAATTCTATTAATGTTGTCCCTCTCGAGTCGAAATGGTGTGTGCCAGAAGAATTGCTTAATGTGAAAATTCTTCCGCCTCTTGTCGATACCAAGCTTGGAAGAAAACGAAGAGAACATGTCAAAGGTGTCGGTGAGAATTTCAAAAGCAAGAGAAGGAACAAATGTTCAATTTGCAAGAGAACCGGACACAAGAGAACCACATGTGTGAACAACAACAAATATTAATTAAGCTTGGTTGAATTTGTTGATTGAATTTGGTTTTGTAATCGTTTTTGTAATCAGGCTACTGTTTTTTTTTTTGCTGCCAGCATTTCTGTAATACCCCGTAACTTAAAATACATTTGCGACTCATAAACACCAATGCATAGATGTGATATCGGGGGAGGTATATCATTGCAAATGGTTAAGCATACCATGTAACCCTTATATTTAGTCATTTGAAGGGTTAAACTCAAAGAGATCATTAACGAAAAGATTAAAGCTTAAAGGTTCATTGTGGAGGAATACTACAAATGATCTCATTTCTCATCTGAC